GGATGGGGGGGAGAGATAACACTGACATCACAGACTGGACTCCCCCCTCCTAGACTACAGATGGTCACAACACTAATTTTCATATCCCAACCTATATCATAACCACAATTATATACGGCTACTTATATATTAGTTACTATCTTCAAATAAAACTCTTGACACTGGCTAGCCTAGGAGCAAAGGCTAATAAAATTCATAGCAAATTATATGCACACTTAAAACAATTGAAAGGCTAATAATTTATGCATAACAGTGACTGTGAAAAACTAATAAAATGTATTAGGGTCGGCATGAAAAAATAGGGTCCGACGGGAAACGGGTATATTTTTATTTGGCCTTATCATTAATGCCGTGATTGGGGGTGAACTCCTTAGTCCCTTGATGTTCATTAAAAACATGTTCTACTTTAAATGCGATTCAAAAAGTGTCAACTTCGTAAAATATTAACCACTTCAACACTTATTAACAACTCGGCTAAAGAGAACTTCTCTTTAGCTTATTAGGTAGAGCGTAAGGCTAGTAAACCAGAGGTCCCAGGTTCAACTCCTTGTGGAAGTATTGAAAAATAGATGGCCTCTGTTACAATAGAGCCAAAGTTAGGGAAGGGAAATATTGACAAAATAACCAGCAATACTTTCACAAGAATCTCGATGACCCAAGGAAATCTGGGGACAAGTTTTTTTCCTGGATAGGGAGACCATGTCACACTGGTAAAATATGAAGCACTTCCTACCAACTCAGTTAGGAAGAATTTCTTTTTAGCTTGTTCAGTATACATAGAGCATAAGACTAGTAAACCAGAAGTCCCATGTTTGACTACCAGCAGAGGCAATGGGACAAAAATACTCTTGTTACAAAAGCAATCGCTAGATCATCCAAAATAATTTCTAAAAAAACAAAACAAAACCATCATTTAGCTCTGGAAGAACCAAAAACTACCATTTATTATGTGGTTTGTATGTTATATGTGACATCAGAAATGATGATGCAACTTCTTGAAACACAGGTGTATACAATTCTACTAGCCTATTTGTAGTGTAGTGTTTGTATGTCATATGTGATATCTGAAATGATGATGCAACTTTATGAGATACAGGTGTATATATATATAAATTCCAATAGCCCGGGTGCCCACACACAGGGCTATTGAGTTGACTTACGTTTTAATAATAGGTAACTGATTAATACATTCCCAGTGGAGATGTTCTAAAATTCTGTTGTATTTTCTCAATTTAAAAGGCGCAAGAGTGCTAAATTTATAGTTATACAGAATTATGAATATACTTAAATATTAAAGTTGTTAATGATGCTTAAATTGATTTCTTATAACATATAACAGTGAACACTCTGTATGATTATCTTTGTGCAGTTGTCCAAATTTTCTGTTGTATATCAACAGGCCATGCGATGTGCTGGGAAGGAACCTTTTCCAAACATTCTGGTAGATGCTAAGGAAGAAGGAAAGGTAAGACATGTAAAATATAGGTGTAGATATCGGCTAGCAAAGAGCTTTTCAGGTAGTACAGGTACGTAGTACACATATTTAAATCTAGTTGAAATCATGCATTTCCTGTGGGATTCATGCATGTTCACTCACTTTCTGAGAACCCACTTTATCTCTTGGTACTCATCATAATTGAGTAAATGATGTTCAAGCAGCATCTGGAAAAAAATCCTTAAAAATTCACCGAGGTAAGCCAATCACTGTTTAAGTATATTGGGTGAAGAGATACCAGTTTTAGCATTAAGATATTACTGATCACTGTCCCACTGCGCTCTGAATTTTCGTATTTACAGTAAACTCCCTTTAATTTCGTTTTTGATACATGAAACTAGCACAGTTGAACAAAAACTTTTGTTGACTGGGTAGTCAGAGAGACAGTACAATGATTGAGGTTCAGGGTTCGAACGACAGTAAATTAGTCCCACTAAACATTCAGAACATGTTGTTATTTCGTCTTTAATATTTTTTACACTAAGTCCCACAAGGTTTGTTTTCTTTTCAAAATTGATTGATCGAAGATATAGTCATTCCAGAAAAAGAGTTTCAAGTTACAGTTGTTGACAGTGGTTGGAGGGTCCTTAATTACAATGGACAAAATTTGAATAGGCCACACCAACATGTCAGTGCCCAAAGCCTCAGTTGAAGTTGATACAAATAGGCCACACCAACATGTCAGTGCCCAAAGCCTCAGTTGAAGTTGATACAAATAGGCCACACCAACATGTCAGTGCCCAAAGCCTCAGTTGAAGTTGATACAAATAGGCCACACCAACATGTCAGTGCCCAAAGCCTCAGTTGAAGTTGATACAAATAGGCCACACCAACATGTCAGTGCCCAAAGCCTCAGTTGAAGTTGATACAAATAGGCCACACCAACATGTCAGTGCCCAAAGCCTCAGTTGAAGTTGATACAAATAGGCCACACCAACATGTCAGTGCCCAAAGCCTCAGTTGAAGTTGATACAAATAGGCCACACCAACATGTCAGTGCCCAAAGCCTCAGTTGAAGTTGATACAAATAGGCCACACCAACATGTCAGTGCCCAAAGCCTCAGTTGAAGTTGATACAAATAGGCCACACCAACATGTCAGTGCCCAAAGCCTCAGTTGAAGTTGATACAAATAGGCCACACCAACTTGTCAGTGCCCAAAGCCTCAGTTGAAGTTGATACAAATAGGCCACACCCACATGTCAGTGCCCAAAGCCTCAGTTGAAGTTGATACAAATAGGCCACACCAACGTGTCAGTGCCCAAAACCTCAGTTGAAGTTGATACAAAAGCACAACAACTTGAGCTAAAGAGACTCCCAAAACAAAAAGGAATATATCAATATTATGAAACCCCACTAAACCCTGGAGGGGAAAGACGGTGCTCTAAAAGCATTTCCTGAACCACATGTGGCACTTGTCGTCAAATCTTTGGTCAAATACAGGAATTCATGTATTTCGCCACTGACAAAGAGAACAAGTCTTTAATCTAAGTAGACACTGCCAACTCACAGGTGGAAATCCAGGCCTGTGATTCATGAATCCAATTTTGTGCTCAAGCTTGGATTCTGTGCCCAAACTAACTTTTTGTAGCTCGCTTGTATCAGGTGACACAGACAAAAAATAAAGAGTAAACATTGAAAAGCTTTCATTTTCAGTCTCTCCGAAATCATTGATAAAATGTGATTTTTTGATAATTTATCGCCACATCAAAAAAATGGGGCTGAGAACAGAATTGTGAGTTTGAGCATGAAAATAGTTTCATGAATACAGGCCCCGGTGTTCTAAGATGACTGTAAGCTATTTTCAACTCATGTTGAAGCCTCTCAAGTAAACCTCCCTGATTAAGTAGTTGATTGTCAACAGGACACATTGGTCCAGAAATCCTGATATTAAGAACATATTGGAGTAGTAAATCAACTCTGATCAGCATTTCTGTGATGCTATTTTACTTGCAAGTTACATTTTTCAACTGATTGTTTCTGTTTTAGACATGGGAACCTGTTGCAAAAGCGCAGTTGAAGAAACAACAGAAAATCTGGCAGAGAGAAAAGAACAAAAGTGCAGAAAAAGACAAGAAAGAGGTTTGTTCATTATTACCTTGTAAAAATTTGTAGAAATCATGCTGACATTTTGCCACTATCTGGATTTTGACAAACTTTCGCCAACTTGAAAACAATATTTTGATTTTGATTAGCAGAATATATAATTGATAATTTAAGGTTAATTGGTAGTTGTTAACAATTTTAAATATTTTTTGTTTCAGTAGTTCCTTTTGTTGAGTTATGTCCCTTTTCATAAAAAATGTACTGTATAGATTTCAGTGAAACTATCTGTATATATTTGGTATACAACAGAATTGTTAAAATTTAATGCAACTGATTTCCATCATAAAATTAAGCAAAAGTGAGTGCTGAGAAGGTGCATGGGTATTGGCCTGCAGCTTACAGTTCTATATCTGGCTGTTTTCTTTTCCCACCTGCACTATTGGAGGTTAGTCCATCAGCATCATGGATAAAACATTTGTTGATAAAATGAGATGTTTTCGTGGGGCCCAAATGTTGTATTTTTCCGACAAAACACAATTTCCTGGGTACATGAATTTGTGGATTACGAGTACCCACTCAAAACGAGAAGTGCTTTATGTCATACTTGTAATTACTTCATGGACCTATGAATTCGTGGATGAAGATTACCAATGAAATCAACAAAATTAAAAGACCCATGAAAAATTTGTGATTTCCCAGTATTGACAAAATGAATTTGTTTTTCATTCAATAGACAGAGGATGCAGAAAAGCGAGAGAAAAACTTAGAGGAGGCAAAGAAAGTAGTGATAACTGAAGATGCCAGTCTCCCAGCTCCTAAACAGGTCAGTATTTTGTCAGAAGTCATTGACAATACATACATATACTTCTAAACAATTCTTCAGGTTGGTAAGTATGGATTGTGAAAAGATTCATGTACTGGGATATCTCCAAAGTATCGGTACATATATAACAACCAATTGTACATATGCTTACAACGTAGCCAAATCAACATCAATTTGCGTGGATAACTCGTACATATTTTACCCCTTTGTGCACATACGCTTCAGTGGTCACTTGTCTGATGAAGGTGACAGAGTACATTATGTACTAGTCATGAAACGTCACATATAAAAAGTCATATAAAGACTTATTGGTTGTGCTACATGAATCTTTTCACAATACATACATATACTGCATATATCCTAATAGGAGGTGTGTAAGGGTGTAATTAGGTGGGTGTGGTAGAGTGCTCTTTTAGCATGTGAGAGGTACCAGGATCGATACCCGGATTCTCCACAGTCTTATTTTTTTTTAAATGAAATGATACATTGTTTTCAAAACACACCATTTTTAACATCATATCTATATATAATATATTAAATATCACTCAGATGTGTCGTTCAAATCCAAGTTTTAATCAAAGTAAAAGGAAAATAGTTTAAAAATGGTTCGGGGAAAATATGTTTTTTTTTTAGATGTTGGATATTTCAATACAAAAGCTAGATGCATAAAATACAACTACATAATTCAAGTAAAGTAATAATTTTACTAGAATTCAGAAAGGTGTGTTAATTGTTTTCTTAATTCAAACACCATCATTAACTCATTGACCCCTGAAGTTTCATAATGAACTATTCCAACCTTTGAATTGGAAGTGTTCAAATCTGTCTGCAGGGGTGAATGAGTTAAAGCAGCTGGCCGCACTGAAGTCTTTGCAGCTGAAAAATCCTTTCAATTTTGAGCATTTTAAAAAATTAATACATTTCGTACCAGTATATTCTGATATCTATGGAGATGTCAACATAGAAATACATGTGAAATTGTTTTGTATTTTGTTGTTTTCCATCAATTTTGTAACAGTCTGCAACTGTGGCGTATATTATCAGTTACTTCATTCAAAGTAGGTTACTGATCCTGCTTAAAATTACTGCCAGAACATCTATGATACATACATTTATTAACATCATCATGTCTGCCATGAATGTTGAAGAAAGTTAAGTTTAAGGTGAAACTTTATTCAAAGTTATTTTCGTAAAAAAATACAATGTTTTAGTTAATTTGTTTCATTTGAATGATTGGATTTTACAGAACTATGATTTTATGTTTTATTAATATTTTGAAACATAAGATGGATAAATTGAGAATGAAAATATGTTAATTGGTTTTACTTAGAAGAAGGAATTAAGCAAATACAGCTTACATATTAAAACTAGAAATGAGAAATGAAAAATAGCCAATGCAGAAATCTCTTTTTTGTCTTTTCAGATTAAGATCCGAGATTCTCTGGCTAACAGAGATGTACGCGTGAAGGTTTTCGGCTGGGCTCACAGGATCAGGAGACAAGGTCTGCATACTTAGGGTCCTCAGCATCAAGGATATCTTTATATATACTTTCTATGACTTGTGAATGTTGTTCAAACTTCACCAGGGTGGATTATTCATGTTAGATTTGATATTGCCTGAGCGTCCAAAATTTGTATCAGGAGGACATTTTGCAACAAACAGGGATATACCTGTATGTTATCTCTGGTACTCCAAGTATACATTTCTAATCACTAAAAACACTGCCTTGACTGCACAGCTTGTCATGATCAGTGCCACACTGACAAACTATACAATTGTGGATATTGAATATTGACAGTTTAAAACAAATTACATGCAGTCACCTTTTCTAAGAATGGCCTAAGACTTCAATTTTGCCAGAAGCAGAATGATGTAATATAACTACATATATATAGAAAATTCTTTTTATTGACAGGCAAAAACATGATGTTTGTCATTCTGAGAGACGGTACAGGATTCTTGCAGTGCCTTTTGTCAGATAAATTGGTAAGTTTTATTTCTGGAGTTTAACTGCTATCTACTGAACGTAACAAATTTACATACATACTTAATTGCATGAATGGACCCACTTTTCTGTCCTCATTCTTGAGGACATGAGTTGGCTTTTCATTCAACATGTTAGCGTAAAGTTTCTAAAGTTTTATGAACTTTCAAGAAATTATTTACCCTGTGATGATAGGATAACTGTGCTCACACAAAATAGAAATCTTGAGCATTTAAACATTTTGACTAGAGAAAAAAATCTAACGACTAATAGTGACCATGTCAGTGCTCACAATGATCCGGGATTATTTTACAGCTCCATTTGAGATAAAGTTTGTGTATAATTATCAATATGGTTATCACACAGTGTCATACATACGATGCCGTTTTGCTGTCCACCGAGTCTGCTGTCTGTATCTACGGTAAAATCTCTGCTGTTCCTGAGGGAAAAGCTGTAAGTACATTTTGTGTACAAAACATATATTTCGTAAGCTAAAAATGACCAATTTCTTAAAAAAATATAACACTGAGTTTGTAATTTAATGCTTTAAAATTGCAAAAATGTAATGTGTGTTATTGAAAAAAAGTTGTAATAGTGATATAATGTTATTTTTTGGAGAAAAATAAAGAAAACCTTTCTTATTTTCTAATGAAAAGCCTCATTTCTGTTAACAAAGTGTGTTTCTATAGGTACATTGTTATTACAGGCCCCTGATGGACATGAGTTGTGTGCAGATTTCTGGGAGTTGGTGGGGGCGTCGCCTCCAGGAGGAGCTGAAAATGTCCTTAACGAGGTAGGTTACAAGAGAAGAGGTTCATGAAATCTCTCGAAAATTATATTCATTCACATCTTATAGAATATTTCAAATCTTTTAGGAATTCATAAAATCTTCAAAATACATGACAAATTTACATATTCTGTTATGTTTTAATGAATAGGAAGACAGGTGATCTTGTTAATAATGGATCTTGACTTGAATTAGCGTATAGATATACAACTTTAAACAAAACGATTTTGAGGCAGATTGTTTACCAGACTTAATGATATTCTGCCCTGTACCAATACAGTACAAACTGAATAATTTAAAAGAAACTGTCTAGTATCTAAAGATAATTTCTTTAAAGCAGTAATTAAAGTTTCCTGAATTTCATTTGACTGATAGTCCTAGTGCTTTTAAACCATACAGATCATACCTTTGTTATTTTTAGGACGCCAATGTAGATGTTCAGCTCGACAACCGCCATATGATGGTGAGGGGAGAAAACGTAAGTGTACTAATCTATAAAAAATTGTAGCAGATTGTTCATTAAGACCTTGAATGTCAAAGTTGAAATTCCATAGTGAAGGGATTTATCTAGTTTGTCCTATTACATATGTACTATATATTGTATTTTATAAATGATACCTTTACTTACTTACAAGAGTAGCCCCCCTTTTAATTTGCTACATATAACTGGAGCACGACTGGGGTGGGGAACTACCATTGACTAGTCATGCAAGTAAAAAAAAATCCCATGGATCCCTGCATCAGTGCCGGAAATTGTAGCTATGCAGTCACAACTTTTGGCAGAGTTAGGAGGATCCTTTAATCATAGATGTCCTACGAAGTTGAAACACTTTTCAGAATCTGTTAGGTTTACTCTGTGAATAAGAACATTGTGGTTGTTGTTCATTGCAGACATCCAAGGTGCTGAAGATGAGATCAGTCGTGATGCAGTGCTTCAGGGACCACTACTTTGACAGGGGATACTATGAGGTAAAGAACAGAATTAACAGTTCACAAAGATTTGTTAAAAAACGTGATATTATATTGGAAAAGTAAAATGTTAAAGAAAAGCATGGAACAAGAATTTAAAGTGATTGTTGAGAAATTGACTTTTTTAAGCAATTGATCTTCAGTTACTGGCCCATAAGTCAGATTGATTTGTGTTTGTTTCACAATTATTTGCTGAATGTCGAGAGCTATATGTTGACTGTTTTTTTGCTGTTGTACAGGTGACCCCGCCCACCCTCGTGCAGACCCAAGTGGAAGGTGGTTCTACGCTGTTTAAGTTGGACTACTTCGGAGAAATGGTAATATCAACATGCATATGAATAGAAAAAATAATATTCCTGTGTAATTACCGCCGTTATTTCATTTTTACCCTAGTGTATTTAATCATTTTTCCAGATATGAAGTCGAAGATTTCTTATGAATATTACTTTATTTGCTATTGGTGAACACGATTTAACCCTTTTTATCACTGTGACTTCGCTCAAACTTTGGTTCAATTCATCATTTTATGTTAAAGAACCATGTCTTATTAAAAACACCTATCTGAAATACACTCTGATTTTGTTGTTAAACAACATTTTGTGTTGAATGGAATATGCATTATCATCTTTGGAAGATGATTCTTTAGAGATACCTTAACTATTGAGACTTGTTTGGGGTTTCTTTCAGGCGTATCTAACTCAGTCGTCGCAGCTGTATCTGGAGACGGTGATACCATCCATGGGCGACGTGTTCTGTATCGCACAGTCCTACAGGGCTGAACAGTCACGCACCAGGAGACATCTAGCAGAGTGTGTATACTATCTACTTCAATACAATGAACATGTGAAGCTTAAAAAACAAGTGTGCTTTAAATGAAGTTATTGGTACTAATGTGTATTAAATCAGATGTCACTCAAAAGCCATTGAAATCAGCCATCAGAGAGGTCGTTTGTCTTGTAACCAAGTGTTTCCACTAGCCCTACATACTCTAGGTTTTTGTGCCTAAAGTTTTTATTTGCATTAAATGATATGCACTGTTTAAGTCAGAACTCCTGCTCTATTCAAGCATTGTAAAAATATTTTCCCAAATTAAAAAAAAAAAATGTCTACCAATCTACCATATTTTTCTGTGAACGATGGCAGAAACACAAGTAATTTTTCCCCTCAATCATGTGAATTCAACAGTTTATCTTTAGCAGTTTAGATCATGCAGTCATATCCAGCTGAAAGATTGTAACTATATACTTTGCTAATGAGTCTTTGTTGAAGACGTTTGTATCCCAAAGAAAATATCAACTGTGTAATGCTATAAACCTTGAGGAAGAGAATGTGTTTTGTCAGAGACACCTTTCCTATTTAATCAGTCTTATTGTCCTTGACCAGGTACACACATATAGAGGCGGAGTGTCCTTTCCTCTCATTTGACGATCTGTTGGATCGACTAGAAGATCTTGTTTGCGATGTTGTAGACAGAGTTCTCAAGTCTCCTTATGGCAAAGTTGTCATGGAACTCCACCCCGTAAGTCTGTTAGATCATTGGTATCAAAACTTAATGGAATATGGAACTACTATCTGAAGAACACTTATAACGAGAACACACAATACAGCTTATTTGATCATCCTTTGTATGTAAACAAAGGGATTTACTTTTTGTGGTCAGTTCAAACCATTAGAAGCTACCCATAGACCGAAAAATACTTAATACCATAATCATGACTTTTTTGCAGGGTTTCAAACCACCGAAGAAGCCATTTAAGAGAATGCCCTATGCTGATGCAATAGAATTTCTTCGTGCCAACGATATCAAGAAAGATGACGGCACATACTATGAGTTTGGAGAGGTATGTGATTCTGTCTGTAACAGAATTCATCGTTTTATGTAAACGTTGAATTTGAATACATTTTTGAAATATTTTTTATGACATACTTCTTTTGATATAGAATGTGCCATTCTATTTGGATTTTTATAAATAATTTTAAGATTTGATAATATTTGGGCATATCATTTAGAGGTTGTTTATTTAAATAAACCCTGGTGTAATTGATGAAAAACATTTTATGTTGTCTGGACATATTGCATAGCCATATTTGGAAACTTGAAGCTTCAGAGACTGTTTTGAAAATGTTTTCAGGCACATCTGAAAAATATTCAATATATGTTAATTAGATATTTCATGTCTCACTGTTACTTGACAGGACATCCCAGAGGCTCCAGAGAGGAAGATGACCGACATGATCAACGAGCCCATCTTGTTGTGTAAATTTCCAACCAACATTAAATCGTTCTACATGCAGCCCTGCTCTGATGACCCCAAGCTGACCGAGTCTGTAAGTATTAATGGATTAAGGGATAATAATGTCAATACTGTGTACAACTGTTATTGACTGTTATAAAATAGGTTGTTGTTTGTAGAGCTACTGAATATTTAGACAATTCGTAATATTTTGAGACTTCATTACTGACACAGTCTGCCTAATACCATTCACGTTCAGACCATTATTTATACAGTAAATGTTTCTGATTGGTAAGTTTAACATGAAAAATAATAGAAATGCAATATTATTTGATCTTTATCATCAAGCTTAAATCCTTTAAAACCTTCTGGTAAAATATATCTACTGGTATGAATATAAAGAGGATCTGTCATAAGTTTCCCTTCATATTAGATTTATGATACAAGTTTCGGATTTTCCATGTTTGCGAGCCTCTGGCGAGCAAATATGAAAAATCCAAAACGCCCCAAAAATGAGTATCATAAATCTTATATGAAACGAATGACAGATTCTTTTTATCATATATTACAAAGTAAACTGTATAATTGTGATCTGAAAGGAATATTTTGCACTTGGCCGCCTCTGAAACGATGAAAATAACGTGACGTCATATTGACTGTTCCTATGCAATTGTGACGTCATTTCTGGAGTGATATTAAACACCTTACATAAACCTAATTTATGTTATGGCTTTATGACACTGCATAACACGGTATTCATATGATATATACTGATAAAATGTTATTTAACAGGTGGATATGTTGATGCCCAATGTTGGAGAAATTGTTGGAGGGTCCATGAGGATGTGGAAACATGAGCAGTTGATGGAGGGCTTCAAGAGAGAGGGCATTGATCCCACCAACTATTATTGGTACACAGATCAGGTAAGGGCCAACGGATTAGTAAGGTTTGATTTTACAAGTCTGTATAAGTCACCTGGGCCACATTCGTTTATTGCAATCCAAACGGTTGAACCAATTGGACCAGTGCATGAACATTTGCAGGTCCACTTGGATTTATAAGTGAAAATGTTACAGTTAAAAACAGACCAGCAGGTTGAACCGTATAGAGGAAAGGGGCCTAGTTTTAACTTGTACAGATAGTGTCATCGGTATTGGGGAATTTTAACACTGTATATTCATAAAATGTTTATAGACCAGACCTCACTTCAGCTGGGCCCCACCATATTAAATGTGTACATTAATTTGAGACTTTGTGGTAAGAAAAACCTGTCAAATCTGAATTGATGGTCTTTATGATGTCTGGTTCTTCTTATAATTAAAAGTAAAAGGTGTCGTCAATTTTGACGATTATGGTATTGACAGGTATCAATGTGCTTTAAGCATAGAATAGTCACATGTAACGGCAAAATGCTCAAAAAGGAGTAAACATGATTGTTTTTCTAATAGAAGTTTGATTGTCTCCATTTGGGTGGTTTTACAAGAGTCTGAGAAAGCAATGATTGATTTTTCTTTGAATTGTAAAACTGGTTTAATATAGGTTTCAAATATTTTATGGTTTCCAGTGGTACTTTTAGCTCATGTCCTCAGGGAGGGTATATGAACATATGTGATATGAGTTCAATTTGTGTTTTTCAGAGGAAGTTCGGCACGTGTCCTCACGGGGGATATGGTCTCGGCCTTGAAAGGTTCCTTTGCTGGCTTCTCAACCGCCACCACATACGGGAGGTTGTTCTCTACCCCAGATTTGTGGAGAGGTGTAAACCGTGAAAAGAATCATGATAAAAACAAATTATTTATCACAATTACAAGTGCACAATATTTATCACAGACCACATCGGTGGCGGACATACATCTACAGTGTTTTTCTCTCCCTGCTTCTCATGATTCAGATAAAAATTCTGATGTAAAGTTTTGATGTTTTGGAACTTTTTTAATGGTACAAATATATCTGGATAGATTGTGTTTCTGTACAAATCTAATATGAACAAATTTATACAACAGAAATCATGATACAAATGTCCATTATTTTTTTCCATTAGAATTGATTGCAAGAATAAAAGACATTCATATAATGAAGATAAGGGGAAATTTTATCCTCTGCGAGGAAAACGAAAGTGAAACCAGCCTTTAAAAATACCTGTCCTTAATATTTTACATCCACCTTCAAAAATTATGTTTTTAAATGGAAAGAATGACCTAATATACATTTTCTTCTGGTGTTATTTTTAATTGCAATCAACGTTGATCATTTGTACCTGATAAATGATTCTGTGTGGTCATAATTTCATTATATAAAGTTGAAAGCAAGTATTCAATTGACTGAAAGTTTCAATGACTAATTAATGGTCTTCAGTTTGCTAATGTCTTTCAAGGTTCTACTAAAAGATGTATAATTTGATTTCCACTAATGTGTAGGAGTAACACGACAATCACTAATAACGGGACCTATAAGTCAGAACAAATTTGGGGAGACCTTTTCTCTCTCGCAGTGTTTAAATTTGTTTGGGATATCATTGTTTTGCTTTCAACGTGTGAAATTCATTTTCTGATTGAGCTTAAAATTCAGCAAATTATTCACAATGCTATAACGCTGGCAAAAAGTATTGTTACACGTCATAATTGGTGCAGTAATCTAGTGTGTTAAGTACATAAATGTATAACTGACAACTTGAAAGTGTTCTACAGTTCTGGGGTGATAAAACCTAGTGGCTCTGGGAGGAAATGTATATGTTGTAATCTCTAGTCATGAAATGTCTGATTACTAATTCTTGAACCAAGGTCGAAGGCAACTTTGATAACAATCAATTGCACAAAGTTAATTTTCCCTACCTCGTCTTCAACAAGGTTGCAAGCCTACTGTACCATATGAAGTTCCCACCAGACTATTGGCATATGCCAATTTAACTTCCGTTACCATCCAGATACTAATATAAGACGAAGGCATGGACATGATTACAAGAAACGAAATCTGTTTTCTTATGTGGTTTAGTATGGATCTGATGTTCCAAAATATGTTCACCAAGACTGATTATTTCATGTTAGGACAATAAATGAAAAGGGACATTTTATTTACCATGACCAGTGTAAGTGCTATTAGAAGATTTATGGTAATTTAATATTTGATATCTTTAGCTAGTTACTGATGGTAATACATGGACAATATAAATACTTGTAATGCAATGTTAGACTTGATATGGATATTATCTGCAGTGAAATAGGTTTACAGGGAACATCCATAAAACTACTGCGGTACACTAATAGTACAGGTTTTTGGTGCAGAATTTAAAACTCTTAGCGTCACATTTTTACTGCAACTGTGAAGCATTACCGATACTCCATGTTACTTAATGCTTCTCTGTAAACGTGTTTCAATGTACCGACTTTGAGGTACTTACTGTAAATCTTTATACAATATGGAATACTCACCAATGTGGTGATGTGATTCAGGGTGAATACCACCATGAGATTTTAATGACATAATGGACCAGAATTGGTGAGAGGACTCCTGTGTGTGTTTGATGTCATTTGTTTGTTGAATACAGAAAAAAGGGATTGCTGCTTAAAAATAAACTCAAATTGTGGAGGAAAATATGCATTATGTTTTTATTTCATATGATTTTCAAAGGTTTACAACTTATTAGCTCACCTGGTCCGAAGGACCAAGGTGAGCTTATGCCACACTGTGGCGTCCGTCGTCCGTCCGTCCGTTCGTTCGTCAACAATTTCTTTAAACGACTTCTTCTTCTTAACCACTGGTTGGAATTAAACTAAATTTGACTGGAAGCATCCCTAGGTGGTGGGGATTCAAAATTGTACAAATGGTGGGGCTGCCCCCCCAGGGGGCTTAGGGGTGGGCCAAAAGGGGTCAATTTGGCTATATTGCTACAAACGACTTCTTCTGTAGAACTGTGCAATGGATATCAATAATATTTGATCAAAAGCATTCCTGGGAGGCAGGGATTTAAAATTGTACAAATGGTGTGGCTGACCCCCCCAGGGGGCTGAGGGGCAGGGCCAAAAAGGGTATTTAGCTATATCGCTTTAAGTGATTTCTTCTCTGGAACTAAGAAGTGGATATCAACCATATTTGACTGGAAGCATC